AACAAGATAAGGAGCGTGGTTACTGAGAAATAGAACTCATATCTACTGTCAGCAAGATGGCTCTGACTAGTTTTCCTCAAAGGATTTACGCTTGTACTGGAAGAGGGTAATTTATGGTGAAACCATTGCCTCTCAAGAGCACTCCTCTATTGTCAAAGTTAGTCGTATCATCTTTCATTGTTTTACTCTTTCACTCCAATCAATGCTAAATAATTTCCATCTCTTCCCAACCCTGGGTTCGTCCAGAAAAATTTTCTTAACTACTTGTTCTTCCTATTCTTCATGCTGATCCTTGGCAAAATCACTTGTGGGCATGGGGGCCAACTTTCTTGTGTACACAAATAATGCCCAGCTCCACTCTTGGTCCCTGCTTTCCCTCTATCATGTCACACTGTCTGTCCGACATCCGGGGCCAGGCTTTTGTCCTTCAAGGCAGGGATCATGATATGGACCATTCCTGATGTTGCAAAACCACGTCCTAAGAGGCACTGCCTGTCTTCATTTGGGGAGCTAGAGCAGACACAGTGAACTGAAACATAACAATCCATGATTCAGGTTGGTAGAGGTGGTGGAAGTTATACTTCTGCTTCAAGAAGCAGGAATGAAGGGATACCAAGACAGGCAGATTTGAAGGCCTGGTTCTATTCACATTGGCAGAAGCCCAATTTTATACCCTGGCTCTCACTGTTTATACAACACCTCTCAATCCCCTTCAGCCCCACTCATATCCTCTTACCCAGCATCCACTATGAACTTATGAATCCAAGAATGTGTTGGAATGTCTTTGAGATGCTCATAAAACTGTTTAAATAAACAAACATCCATTCAAAAACCTCTTCATATGAATGCAATCCTATTAAATGCTCATAAAACTGTCAACAAAATAGCTCACAGTCTGTTTCACAGTTCTGTCAATATGACCTACCGACTTGAACCCATAAGTGAAGTTTAGAGCTTAGTCAAACACTTCTAATAGGATTCGACAGCATAACTGATTCAACAAAGCCTCCAGAGATGAATATATTAAAATTTTAAGTAGTGAAACAATGGTCAGTTCTCTGCCTGGGCATTCAAACAAAGAAGTCAGCTCTCTAGTTAGCCATTTCAAAGGGTCAAGAGATGGCTGATCTGTCAATCAATGCAAAGATTAAAGCACAGGATCCAAATATTATTTAAATGTGAATCTCAACACTGCTGGCTGGAGAACAGCACTCCATCTAGTAGACAATATGCTCACTGCCCTTTATAGGCTTCCCCAGTACAGGCTTAGAGTTACACAGCACGGAAACAGACCCTTGGTCCAACTTGTCCATGCCGATCAAGTTTCCCAAACTTAACAAGTCACATTTGCCTGTGTTTGGCCCATAACCCGATAAAGGTCTTCTTTTTATGGACCTTTGCAAATGTTTTTTAAATGTTGTAGCTGTACCTGTAGCTACCACTTCCTTTGTAGCTCATTCCCCACATGAACCAACCTCTGTGTGTGAAAAGGTTGCCCTTCAGGTCCCTTTTAAATCTTTCTCCTCTCACCTTAAAATTATGCCCTCTAGTTTGAACACCACCACGCTAGGGAAAGACCCTTGCTTATTCACGCTCCTCATGATTTTATAAACCTCCATAAGGTCAATCCTTAACGTCTTACACTCCAGTGAATAAAGTCCCAGCCTATCCAGCCTCTCCTTATAAATCAAACCCTTCAGTCTCGGCAACATCCTAGTAAGTCTTTTCTGCATCCTTTCCAATTTAATAATATCCTTCCTATAACAGGGCGACCAGAACTGTACATAGTACTCCAAAAGTGGCTAAATTAACATCCTGTAAACCGCAACTTGATATTCCAACTCCTAAACTCAATGGCCTGAGCGAAGAAGGCAAGCATGCTAAATGCCACCTTTACCACCCTGCCTGCATGTGACAAAACTTTCAATGAACACTGTACCTGAATCCCTCAGTCTCTCTGTTCTACAACACTACACAGGGCCTAACCATTAAACTGTGTAACTTCTGCCCTTGTTCGTCTTACCAAAATGCAACACCATGCATTTAGCTTCTGAAACCTCTGATCCAACTTGCTTTACATAGACTTCCGAAACTCACCCACTTCATTAAAATTTTTAAACTCCAGGAAGTACAAAATAACGTGCAAATCCCAGCGTTTGTATTTGTGTATCACACCCTTGAATACACATAATGGCCCAGCCTCTACATCCTTCTCCGGTAAAGAGTTCTCCGAGAGAAGGAATTCTCCTCATCTCCTCAAAAAGGCAGCCCCTTCTTCTGAGATTGTGCCCTCTGTTCCTAGACTCTCCCGTAAGGGGGTTCAGACTTTCAAAACCTATTCTATCAATTCCCCTAAGAAATGTGCATGTTTCAATGAGGAGAGAAGGATCATTTCTGAAGAAGGGTCTAGACCCGAAATGTCAGCTTTCCTGCTCCTCTGATGCTGCTTAGCCTGCTGTGTTCATCCAGCTCTACACCTTGTTATCTCATGTTTCAATAAGGTTGCTTCTCATTCGACTATATTCCAATGAGTTCAGGCCCAATCTTCACAACCTCTCCTCATAAAATAATCCTTCCATTCCTGGTATCAGCCTAGTGACCCCTCTATTAACTGCCTCAAATGTGAGCACATCTTTCCTTAGATAAGGTCCCAAAGTTGTTCAGAGTATTCCACCTCTGGTCTGAATGGTGTGTTGTATATTTTTAGCAAAACCTCCTTACTTTTATATCTCACTCCCTTTAAAATAAAAGCCAACGTTCCACTTGCCTTGCCTTTGACCTGCTGAACCTAGACGCTCACTTTTTATGCTTCACAGATGAGGACTTCCAAATCCCTCAATCTCACAGCTTCCTGCAGTCTGTCCCCGTTTAAATAATATTCAGCTCCTTTATTCCTCTGGTCAAAGTTCAGTATCTCACATCTCTCCACACTATGTCCACATCGCCCACTCACTTAACCTGCCAACATCCCTAGTGGTCTGTTTGTATCACTTTCCTCACTTGCCTTCCCACCTATTTTTGTGTCATCCGCAAACCTGGCTCTATTACATTCACTTCCCTCGTGGGTCACAAGTTGCATGTTCTAGACATGGACATGAATTCACACTGGATAGCACATTTTCCTTATTTCATTTAATACTGCACCTTGGGGTATTGTTGAATAAAGTTCATTTTCTTCCATTCTTAACGAGTCACCAGGCAATGCGGCCCTGGATGCAGAAATATCTTCATTTGGTTTTTTTGTACTGGTATTCTGAGAAGGTGGAGGAAATAAAAGATCTAATTATACATTTAAAAGTCAATAATGTATGTCAGGCCACAAATGTAGCATTCCAGTGTTGCTGGGGACTGCTCAGTGAAGCCCAGTATATTGAACTAACAACTGCAACGATTGCTCCAAATCGGGGGGAGTAAGCTAAAACAGCAGAGACTGAGGAAATGCATGCTGTGTTGTGAAAACATCTCCAGGCAATTTTTTTCCTTCACAGATGCTGCCAGACCTGCTGAGCTTTTCCAGCAACTTCTGTTTTTGTACCAGGCAATGGCGCCCCTGTATTACTTATGGCAAAGCACGCAGGCAAAACATGGCTTATAACATTTTAAAGTTTAAAGTGTAAAGTTTTAAAGAATAATATTGTACATTGAACTCTCTGAAACACTTCTGTTATTGCATATCCAAATGAAGGAAATGTACTATTCTTAGATTTTCAGAAATCTTTCATAAAATGGAAGGACATGTCACAGTGGTAATGTCACCAGGGTCTTGTTCTGAGTTTGCAGTTTGAATGCCATCACAGCAGACAGTAAAAATCTGAATTTAATAAAAATCTGGAATTGAAAGCTAGGCCCATGTAACCATTTCATTAAACAGAATCCCTACGGTGCGGAAGCAGGCCATTCGGCCCATCGAGTCCACACTGACTCTCCCACCCAGACCCAGCCCCCACCTTATCCCTGTAACCCTGTATTTCCCATGGCCAATTCACCCTAACCTGCACATCTTTGGACCGTGGGAGGAAACCGGAGCACCTGGACGAAACCTGGGCAGACACGGGGAGAATGTGCAAACTCCACACAGACAGTCGCCCCTGGGTGGGATCGAACCTGGGACCCTGGTGCTGTGAACAGTGGTCATTTGGGGAATGAAGTTTGCCAACCTTCCCCAGTTTGGCTTACTTGTGTTTCCAATACCACAGTAATGTGTTTAATTCTTAATTATCTTCTGAAATGGCCTCACAAGCTTTATATATCAAGGGTAACAAATACTAGTCTTGTCAGAAATCCCCCTGTCCCATAAAAGAATAAAAGCAAACACTAGAAAGTTACAGTCACCAGGGAAGTGGTACCGGATTGGAGTTTTGGGCCCAGGCCCTGACTGACTTCATCCTTGGGTCTTAAAAAAAAAGTGGCTAGTGAGAAAGTTGATGACATGGTTTGAATTTTCCAAAATTTATCAGATTTGGTGAAGGTTCCATTAGATTTGAAAATTACAAAAATAGTTCTTTTATCCAAAAAGAGATGGGGACAGAAAGCAGGATGTTATGGATCAAGAGAGATAGTAGGAGCTGCCGATGCTGGAGTCTCAGATAACAAGGTGTAGAGCTGGACGAACACAGCAGGCTAAGCAGCATCAGAGGAGCAGGAAGGCTGACGTTTCGGGTCTGGACCCTTCTTCAGAAAAAAAAGCTAAGCTCTGGATCAAATTGCTTAACATGTGTCATTGTGTAGATGTTAGAATCTAGCATTGAAGATAGTAAAGCAGGGCCCTTCGAAAAGTTCAGGGAACTCAGGCACATTCAACATGTTTTTGTGATCAGGAACTCAACTTTAACCAATCTGCTGGAGTTCTTTGAGGAAGTAACATACGTTTTGAATAGAGGGGAACCAGCAGGAAATGCACTATTCTTAGATTTTCAGAAATCATTTCATAAAATGTCACGTCAAAGGTTACTGCAGAAAATAATAAGTTATGTTGTGGGCTGAACATATTGGCATGGATAGAACATTAGCGAGCTAACAAGCATCATTTTCTGGTTAGCAAGATGCAATAAGCAGTTTGTCACAAGGATCAGTGCTGGGACCTCCACTCTTTACACGAATAGGAAAGGTTTGGAGGGATATGGGCCAGGAGCAGACAGGTAGGACTAGTTTAGTTTGGGATTATGTTCGGCATGGACCGGTTGGACCGAAGGGTGTGTTTCCGTGCTGTATGACTCTATGACTGAAGGTGTGGCTGGCAAATTTGCTGATGACACAAAGAAGAGACCCGAAAGTAAGTTGTGATGACAACATAGGGAGGCTACAAAGGGACGTAGACAAAGTACACTGGTAAAGATCTGGTAAATGCAGCACCTTGGGACGAATTGTTTTTCAGATAAAGGATATTTTTAGGTTTTAGATACACTTAGGCCAATCAGGAGTATCTCAACCTTCAAACCTGTTACTGTCTGCCAGTGAAGAGCTGTTTCAGCTTCCCTGCTTTAAATGCGAGTCACAGCCTGGTTTAATCAGGTCTATTGACACCACAGGATATCAATTTGTATTTGTTTATTAGGCTCTTGGTCTGCTTTAAGCAAGCTCTTCTTATGCGCTATGTCTGAAATGATGGAGATCTGAGTGGGTGAATAACCTACTCTTTTCTAATTGCTGGGTCAAATTGGTTAAAAAGTGATGTGCACTGTACAATAGGTCTTTTTTTTAGAATCCCTACAGTGTGGAAACAGGCCCTTTGGCCCAACAAGTCCACACTGACCTTCAGAGCACCCTACCCAGAACCATCCCCCTGTAACCCACCTAATCTACACATCCCTGAACACTATGGGCAATTTAGCATGGCCAATCCACCTAGCTGGCACATCTTTTGGACTGTGGGAGGAAACTGGAGCCTCTGGAGAAAACACACACAGACACAGGGAGAATGTGCAAACTCCACACAGACAGTCACCTGAGGCTGGAATCAAACCCAGGTCCCTGGTGCTGTGAAGCAGCAGTGCTGACCGCTGAGCCACCATGCTGCCCCCAAAATATTAAAACCAAAGGAGTACACTAAATGCAAAGTGGAATTCTACTGACAAAAAACGTCTGTTTGGGTCCTTTGGAAAATAAACTTTAGTCATGCCAAACAAAGCCAAACAGCCACTGAATTTGTCCCTTTCGGAAAAACAACTTGCTTTTAAGTTTGAGCCGAAGCAGAGCCAATCTCGAAAGGACCTGAACACAGCAGGTCGACAGATCTGTTCAGGTCTACTTTTGAAAAGAGCTTTGGATTTTCAGGTCTTTTCGATTTTCGGAGGCGCGGGTAAAGGATGTATGATGTGAAAAATGCGAAATTATTCATTTTGTCAGGAAGAATAAGAAGGAAGTTTTTTATCTGATAGTTGAGAAATTGCAGTGCTCTGAGATTCAGAGGGAGCTGGCTGTCCTCATACATGATTCACAAAGGGTTAATATGCAGGTACAGCAAGTAATTAGGAATGCAAATAGAATGTCATCATTGATTGAGAAGAAATCAAGAGATGGGTCAGCTTCAGTTCCAGACTCATTGTGCAGTGTGTACAATATCGATTTTTTTTTAAAAGAAGGATTTTAACGTATTGTAAGTAATTCGGAAAAGATTCACCAGACTAACACCTGGAACAGGCAGGTTGTTTTATGAGGAAAGATTAGACAAGCTTGGCTTCTATACAGTGAAGTCTAGGAGAGTAAGAAGCAACATGTTTGAAATGTAAAAGATGCTAAGAGGTCTTGACAGGGTTGTTTATACTGTAGTGATTAACAATAGGTAGGATAAACATTGAAAGCTGTTAGCTCATACAATAATCAAAGATTGATTTCAGGTTAGGTAACCCTGGGACTGAAACATTTTAGGGTAGTTCAGAGAAAACCTGACTGGGATCAGCAATAGTTTCTCTCCGAGAAAGGAGTATTTTTTTCAGAGTAGTCAGGGGTCTTAAGTTACTTCAGTGCAAAAGTTTGTCTTGCGCAACTTCCTGGCCAGGAGTGTTTGGTCTGGAATCTGCAGTTTATAAGAAGCTGTGAAAATCTAAGCTGTCAGCCTTGTGGGTATTCTGAAAGGAAGACTGCACAGTTCAGGGAACAGAAGGAAGAAGCAATGAAGTCAAACTTAAAAATTTAACATAAAGGGGTAATATTTCTGGATTTGAATCACTGCAAAGTGATGGCATTGGGCAGGGGGCAATTGATTCAAACTTTGTTTTGGTGTGTGTTTCAAGATCTGTCTAACTGTGTTCTATATCAGATAGCTCTTTTTGTCTATTGTGTAATAAACTTGTTCTGTTGTTAAAGCAACTCTGCAACGTGGTGTGATTATGTTGCAGTGAATGGCGATCTCACCGATTGATCCCTCTATCTTAAAAAAATGATCTACAAAAGCTGGCTTCACTCTGGGGATAGACCTGTCCACAGCACCACCAGCTGGGATCGTAACATGTGATAAATAAATAAATGAACACTGCATAAGCAACTCAACTCCAAAGATCATTTGTTTTATTTTAAGGGAAGCTGTTCCTGAAAACAAATGCATACAATTGCTCCCTTTTTGAATAACAATAAAATATTTACTTATTTAATAAAAAATATAACAACCAATCATTCAACTTCCCTCTGATCTACCTACCTGAAACGCTAATACACAAAGGCACTTGACCCAGTCCATCACATCATGTTTCGAAGCTGCCATGATGTAGGTTTTCTCTATGGTGATAATGTTAAATGTCGCCGTCTCTTTTGGAGGGTTTTCCACCTGGTTCTGATTGATGCTGATACAGTCAGACAAACGGATGATCCTCTCCACTCGTTTTGTATTCTGCCTCTCAGGAGTGTTAGTCCAATCCTTTGCGTCAAACTGTTCCAGCCTGGCAATACTGTTTGAACTTGCTGGGTACAATAGGGACCAGTTCTTCTTCCAAACTTTCTGAAATAACGAGAGGATGTCAATCAACATTGGAGATGGGGCTCAACCCATGTGAAACTGAGGGCACCAGAATTCTCATAAATCAAGGAATCGCGATAACTGCTCAGTTCCGGCACATTTTCTTTTTAATCATTCATGGGATGAGGGCATCACTGGCCAGAACAGTATTTATTGCCCATCCCTAATTGCCCAAAAGGCAGTTAAGAGTTAACAACATTGCTGTTGGTCTGGAGTCACAATTAGGCCAGACCGGTAAGGATGGCAGTTTCCTTCCCTAAAGGGCATTAGTGAACCAGATGGGTTTTTCCAACAACTAACAATGGTTTCATGGGCATCATTAGACTCTTAATTCTAGATTTCTATTGAATTTCCACCATCTGCCAATAGTGGGATTCCAGGGAGGGAGGGGGTGGTCCCAGAACATTAACTGGGTCTCTGGATTAATAGCCCAGTGATAATACCACTAGGCTATCACCTCCCCACTTTGTGGATATTTTCTGAATGCCATTTAGTTCACTGTTTATAACAGGAGATCCCCACAATATTAAAAAAAAGGAATAAAATGGGTCAACAACAGTTGCAGCATATCTGAGACTGAATCATAATTAACACCAGTTTCTGCATGGACACCCGTATCCTGAGGGAGTTTTGAATGGAATACAGCGAACACGCAGCTTCTTGTGTACATCTGGTGTCCAGCTCATGAACATAAAGGAATGGGGAGAAAACTATTGGTAAAACTAACAAAGAAATGAAACAAATGCAGTAAGTACACAAGTCACAGAGATGTACAGCACGGAAACAGACCCTTCGGTCCAACTTGTCCATGCCGACCAGATATACTGTATAAATCTAGTCCCATTTGCCAGCATTTGGTCCGTATCCCTCTAAACCCTTCCTGTTCATGTACCCATCCAGATGCCTTTTAAATGTTGTAATTGTACCAGACTCCACCACTTCCTCTGGCAGCTTGTTCCATATACGCACCACCCTCTGTGTGAAAAAGTTGCTCCTTAGGTCCCTTTTATGTCTTTCTCCTCTCACCTTAAACCTTTGCCCCTCTAGTTTCAAACTCCCCCACTGTGTTGCCCAAAGTGAGGAAAATGTTTTTGGGACAATCGCTGCATAAAGAGTACAGTACCGTAGTGACACTCTAACAATATGAGGACAGACTGCTCTGGAACTGCCTGTCCAACAGAATGTCATGTTCAGTTCTGAATGCTGAGAAATGTGCCAATAATATTATTACAGTCTCTGTGAAGTTAGTGTGTGTTTCTTGCAGGGCTACAGCAGTTACAGTGTGTTAATTGTTCAGGAAGGGAATGTAAGGGGCAGGGAACAATGTTGCTTCTTTTTTAAAAATATTCAACACAGAATTTCCTGTGCAATTGTACTAAGAGGCTATCTAGTACTTCAGACCAATTGCAGAGACCACTAGACAGAATGTTAATACAAACTGTTGCCTGCCATTACATCAATCCAATCCCAGGGCTATCCACTGCAGTATCTTGGCAATTTTGGAAGAGTCTACATTGTAAATAAACAATTAAAATGGAAAATTATGTCCCAAATGTGTTGGGGGCAGGCATGTTCAGTGGCAATTAAATTGCTGCCCCCACCCCTGTGATTAGCTCATTCTCAAGCCAATCAGTTTAAGAGCTGCCTGAGCAAGCTTCTCACTGATTCGCAGGCCTGGCCTGTAGAGTCCCACCTTGCCAGAATCTTCTGCCCAATCAGAGGCAAGCAGTTTCTGGATCCTAAAGGTCATGGGTCGAGTTCTGAGCATCATGGTTGAGGCTTAGGCTTTAGAGATTGCACAAAGAAGATGTGCAGGCTGTTTTCCCTTACCTCCTGCAGTGTGAGAAGGTGGCAGGGAGAGCGGGGTTGGAGGTAAAGACAGCGGGTGGCATTCAAAGGTCATCCCTTACCCCCAGTCTCTGCCTCTGATTGCCTCAGATTGCAGCAACTGGAGGCCTTCTCCTAACCTGGCAGGAAAGTCACTCTGTTTCTCGGTTACCTGATGATAGTTGGGCTGGTGGCAAGTTGAGTCCCTAAGTGGCCAATGACAGATCATTTCAGGGATTTACTAGCTGGCAGATCTTCTCACCTGGCCCTTAAGTGCTGAGATGGGGAGAAGGATATGATAGTTCTCCAGAAACTACTTGCCCATTCATTAGTGTCCTGACCTTTGGGCCAGAAGGTCCAATTTCAAGTCCTAACTGCACCATCGATGTGTCGTAACATGTCCAAACAGATTTTTGAAAACAATGTGTGTACTTATCTCTGAAAACAGAGATAGAAGCATACTCAGTTGACCCTAATATGCTCTCCACTAAATCCAGAATAACCTTGTGATTTCAGCTACCCGAGATAACTCACCAGTAACACCCACTTACACATATACCATCAGTCACAAACACTGAGTGCATTGTAAGTTACTGTATTATTTCTGATAAATGATTTCAATAAGAAATGTTATGGATCAGACCAAACCCCCTCAACATATATGAAGAAGACAGCCTAGACCCTATCTTTTCTTATTTTAAAGGCAAATGCTAGATGTTGTGTTCCAGATGCAATTCAATTGGTTAATCTAGCAGTCTTGAAGCAAAACACACATTATTCATACACTATAGTTCAAAGGCAATAAAAGAAAGAAGAAATTGAAATAAGTCTACTGGAAAACTTAACACAATAATAGATTATTTAACTGCAAACAGCAATTGTTTTAATATAGTAACATCCCATAAACACACTCTTTCCAAACCCATGACCACTTCCATCGAGAAGGACAAGGGCAGCTGATATATGGGAACACCATCAGCTCCAAGTTGGCCTTGTTACCACATAGCCTGCCATTACACACCCCCTGTTGTTAGTCACTAACAGTCCCCATTAACAACTATTCACCCTCCTAGCCTGATCGTTAGCAACTCCTTTGTCTGTCCAACTGTCTTTCTCTCTCTTTGGGCTCTATCCTGTCGTTTACTCCCTACCCCACCCACCTCCCTATTTTCTGCATATAAACTGACGTTTTTCAGCCACCATCAGTTCTGAGGAAGGGTCACCGGACCCAAAACGTTAACTCTGTTTTCTCCTCCACAGATGCTTCCAGACCTGCTGAACTTTTCCAGCAACTTTGCTTTTGTTCCTGATTTACAGCATCCACAGTTCTTTTGGCTTTTATCAGCTCCAAGTTCCCCTCCAAGTCACTCACCATCCTGACTTGAAAATATATTGCCATTCATTCACTGCCCCTGGGTCAAAATCCTGGAATTCCCTCCCTAAGGGCATCGTGGATCAACCCACGGCAGGTGGACTGCAGCGGTTCAAAAAGGCAGCTCACCCCCACCTTCTCAAGGGCAACTAGGGACAGGCATTAAATGCTGGCCAGCCAGCGACACCCACATCCCACAAAATGAATAGAAAAAAAAATTCTGTAAAATAGATTGTCTCACATGCAATTCTAGCAGCAGGAAGAGGACCCCCAGCTTTTCGCTGTAACAGAGAGAGGACAAACAGTTTCCACATCCAGCTTCAAGACACCAGCAACTGCAGAAAACTAAAACTAAAATTCCTGTTTCCTGGGGAGCTTGTTCCATCCTTTCAGGCTGCTTCTATTGTCCCAACTTTAAAAAGAAACCCAAGGCCTCACAAGCTATTTACTCCATTGCCTTTAGAGAATGCTGCTTGGTACCTCTGTCTCAGTCTTTCTTCATGAAAAAAACCAGGACAGAATACACATCTTAAAGCCATAGTATTGTCACAGAAACTACTGCCGGACCAAAGTTGGATTTAGAACCAACTGCAGCACAAGCCCACATTTCCCTGTCCAACATAAGCAAACTAAAACCAAAATGCCATCAAAAATAACTCTCATAAAAACCAAAAGAACTGCAGATGCTGTAAATCAGAAACAAAAACAGAAGTTGCTGGAAAAGCGAAGGAGGTCTGGCAGCATCTGTGGAGAGTTAAGGTTTTGGGTCGAGTGACCCTTCCTCAGAACTGACTGTGGCTAGAGAAATAAGGAGAAGAATATCTCTGATACTTGGTGGCATTCTGTTTACACTGCTCTATGTAATTAGACCAATGCATCAGGCACAGAGGCTGTTAATCAATGGTCCCTGTACAAAACTAAGTTGCACTTCCTTTAAACTTATGAGAGTTCCTTTTTTTCAGAAAGGCATCTCATCTTTAGTGAGTTACGTAGACATACAGGATGCTGTAAGAACACAGCAAGCCAGGCAGTGTCTAGTTGGTTGATGGGAGGGATGTAGGGTATAGGGTGACCAGGCGGAAGAGAAAGTGTTGTTCCTCAAATTTGCGTTCTGAGTCACTGCGACACTGGAGGGGGCCGAGGACACACATGTCAGAGGGTGAATGAGGAGAGGGAGTTGAAGTGGGCGGTAACCGGAGGGTCTCAATATTGAGTTCTCTAATTTCAATCAACCTTCCTACCCATCCCCCAGCTCTCCTTTCCAGCCCCACCTCCTCCTTCCCATTCCACCTGCCGACACTCCCTTCCAGCCACCAACCAGATTCATCCCTCCCATTGACCAACCAGGTTGAACCTACCACCAGTGTCCACCTATCGCCACCATTCTGCTTCCACCACCCCCCCGCCCCCCCCGATTATCTGCAGCTCTCCCTACCCCCACATCCAGCCCTGAAGAAGGGTAATACCCAAAACATTGACTGCTCCTTTCCTCCCAATGCTGCCTGGCTTGCTGCGTTATTCCAGGCTCCTGTTTGTCTACCTTGGATTGCAGCATCTGCAGTTTTTTTTGTCTCTAGTGAGTTATGCCCAGGTAAAGTTAGAAATTTACCTTCACTTGGCTGTTTGTATCACTGTTATACCTATTCTCCATTAGTGAACTTGGTTTTTGGACAGATGGAAGTTGTTTGGACTGCTTTGATTTCCTTAGAATTTTTCACTCAACCGAATGAGAGAGAAAACAGGCAGAGTTATAATGGAGGAGGACCAGATATAATCTGGTGAA